TTTCTGTGGTGTACCTGTATGTGTGTGTTCAGGTGCATTTGTACATGCCCATGAGTACAGAGACCGAGGAGACTATCAGGTGTCTTCAGTTGCTCTCCACCTTATTCCCTTGAGACAGGGCCTCTCACTGAACCCAAAGTTCACTGTTCACATAGGCTAGCTGGGCAACAAGCTCCTGAGATCTGCCTGTCTGCTCCCCAACTCTGGCACTGTAGGTATATGGGGCCATGTGCAGCTTTTATGTGGATGTTGGAGACTCAAACTCAGATATTCATGCTTGTATAGCAAGTGGTATCCTCAGCTCCACACACAGCTTGCTTGCTTTTCTTTTGTCTTTGTTGTTTTGATAGGGTTCACTCTTTGGCCTACACTAGAATAGTTCTCACTATGGAGCTCAGGCTGGCCTCACCCCTGTATAGATCTTCCTATCTCAATCCAAGTGCCCTGATAACAGGCATGAGTCACCATTCCAGGCTGTCCTTTTCCTTAAGATTTCTAGGCATGCATGCTGGCCCTCAGATCCCTTGGAATGTGCCACTTAATGTGGATGCTGGGAACTGAACTGGAGTCCTGTGCAAGAGCAGTATGTGCGTTTTTTGTTGTTGCTGTTATTGGGTTTTTTTTTTTTTGTTTGTTTGTTTTGTTTTGTTTTTTTTTTGATTTTGATTTTTCAAGACAGGGTTTCTTTGTGTAGCTTCGTAGACCAAGCTAGCCTTGAACTCACAGAGATCTGCCTGCCTCTGCCTCCCAAGTGCTGCAGTTAAAGGTGTGCACCACCACTGCCCAGCTGTGCATTTTTATAAACAGGTTATTTTATTATCTTTATGAATATGGATGGTTTGTCTGCATGTACATCTGTGCATCATGCCTGTACATGTACACTCCTGGTATGTGCAGAGGCTAGAAGAGGACATCAGATCCCCTAGAACTGAGTTACAGATGGCTGTGAGCTGCCACATGACTTCTGAGAACTGAACCAGGGTCCTCTGGAAGAACAATCAGTGTTCTTAACATTGAGCCATCTCTCTAGTCCTGTCCTCTTTTTCTGTTTTCTTTTTCTACCCCACTCAAGCACTAAGGGACTGAACAGGTATTCCGCCATCAAGCTATACCCCCAACCCCTCTGGAAGGTAATGTGTAGCTGAAGCTAGCCTCAATTTGCAGCAATCTTCCTGTCTTAGCCTCCCAAGTGCTGCTTAATTCATCACCATAAAATTGTTGTGATCACCTAAGTGTGGCCCATGGCTATAATGTCAGAACTTGAGAGGCGAAGGTTATATGATTGAAGGTTTGAGGCTAGACCAAGCTACATAGACTGTCTCAGGGTGGGGAAAAAGAAAAGAAAGAAAAAGAAACAACTATAAAACAAAACATAAAATAATTCCTTCCACAATTACTATTATATCTGTCTTGTACTAATTTCTCTTGGGTGTACACTCAGAAGTGGAAATACTAGGTCATGCTCTATGTATTAGTTATGTAATCTGCTTTTAGCAGATATTGTCAGTTTTCCAAAGTGGCAGTACCAGTTTACACTCCCACCAGCAGTGTACAAAAGTTCCAGTTGTACCCAGGCATAGTGGTACATGCCTATAATCCCAGCACTTGGGAAGCTGGAGGAAGGGGACTGATGAGAACTATAGGCCAGCCTGAGCTACATAGTGAGACGTAGCCAGGAAGAGAAACTCCCACGCCCTCAGTGGGGCTGGTGCTGCCTCTTTTTCATCTCAGCTAAGGGTTAAAAAAAAAAAAAGTGTGGCTGCAGTGGTGACACACGCCTTTAGTCCCAGCACTCGGGAGGCAGAGGCAGGAGGATCTCTGTGAGTTCCAGGCCAGCCTGGTCTATAGAGTGCCAGGACAGGCTCCAAAGCTACAGAGAAACCCTGTCTCAAAAAACAAACAAACAAAAAAAAATATATATATACACATACATATATATATATATATATATATATATATATATATATATATACACACACACACATACACACACACACAGAGAGAGAGAGAGACATATTAAGGTTTTAGAAAGAATGTGTGGGCTCAGTGTAGAGTCCTGACGGCAGCAAGTAAGTAGACATGGGCTGGAGAAAAGATGCTAATAGACTAGCAGAAGGTCAGTCTTGTCACCCAAGAAAGCCCTGAAGGTGGCATGGGCTAGGATGCTCATGGGGTGATGAAGAAAACAATTCAGACAGGCTGGAATTGTCCCTGATGGGACTGGCTAATAAAATGAGTGAGGCCAGGAATGGCAGTGCACCCTTTTAATCTTAGCACTTGGGAGGCAGAGGCTGGTGGACTGCTGTGACTACATAGCAAGCTCCAGGCCATCCAGAACTATACAGGGAGACCCTGTCTCAAAAGCAACAATCAAGCAAGCAAAAAGATGGGTGAGGGTAAGTGAAAAGAGGTCGGTGGGATGAGTTCCAGATATTTCAGACAGGGTAACTGGACTCTGTCCTGCCGCCATCTCCCAAGTGTGGGGATCACAGGCATACACTACCACACCCAGCTAAATGCTAGACTTCATCAGTGTATTTGCACAAGCCACGGGAGGTACATAGAGGCCAGGGGACAATTTGTGATGTTCTTTCTCTCCTTCTGCTTTTACATGGATTCCGGGTATCAAACACAGGTCATCCATCATCAGGCTTCCAGGGCGAGCACTCTACTCCATCAGACTCTCACGGGCCCCTAAATTCTAGGTCTTTGCCTTGAAAAGCTGGGTGGAAACAATCAAAAGAGAAGAAAAGCTGGGCGAAGGAGAGGAGTGCCTCTGATATCAAGATTCAGGGAGAATTACACAAGCTAAGAACTCACAGGAGGCTATTTAAGCGTACGGTGTCCCCTGGACTTCAGGCCAGCAGGAGAGTTGACACAGGCTCAGTGTGTCTCCATCTTGGCAAGACTGGTGACTGCCAGCTGCATGAATAACTTGGGCTGCCTGCAGCAGACAGGCCAGGGCTAGGGTAGCAGGCCTGCTCTATCCAGCCCTGTAACTTAAGACTGCATGCTGGGCCCACTCGGCCTCCACCTCAGACCTAGCAGGGTTAAACATGTGATCACATATCAATGTGCCCCAGGACAGGTGAGGACACAAATATCTCCTGAGTCCCAGACACAGAACTTGTGAGGGTGGCAGCTTCTCCTCCCACTCCCATTTTCCAGCTCCCTCTAGGCAGCCCTGCAGAGGGGCCTTGTCCCCTGTCCCCTCTCCCAAGCTCAGCTCTTGCCCCAGGTTCAGAGAAAGAGGAGAGAACAATGGATGTTGATTCATAGACTTTAGTGTATTTCCTCTACCCAGCAGTTTCTTCAATGACAAACAGGCCTGTACAATACACACGCTTCACTCCGTTAAAGCTACAGGGCTGGGGGATGGGGGCCCCTGAGACACAGTGGGGCGAGCATCACAACCAGAGGCAAGCAACAGCCAAGGGATGGGGAGGCAGGGTTCTTGGAGTTTAAGGAACTAGAGAAGGCTGATGAGGGGTAGGAAGCCCAGGCTGCCGGAAGAGCGGCCGGCAAGTTGTGCAGAAGGAGCAGAGTATGGGGAGGTGTGGCCACCATCCCCATTATGGGCAGGGAGGTGGCATGGTCACCATCACCGCTAGCAGCTAGGGGGAGTGGTGGGTATGGCATGTCTGTGGGTATTTTGCCAGGAACTGCTGTATAAAAGGGACTGTACAACATAACCTATAATATAATATTTACATATGATACAAGGGTCTCTCCCTCTTTGGGTTTTAAAAAATAAATGTACAATTCCAGAGCTTTGGGTAAAAAATATATACACCTCCCAGAGCAGGAGCTGCAGCTGCTCTCACTTCAGCCACAGCCATCACTACCTCTTCAGAAGGGCCAGGAAGGGGTGAGGCTGTGCCAGGAAACCTCACCCAGTAGCTGCCTAGAACCTCTGCAACCCCTCGGCACTGGAGTCCGTGATGGGGGAGGAAGGGTGATGGAGAGGTAAGAAAGGCCTTGCCAGAGCCCGGCTTTACCTTTATAGCTGCTGCTGCCTCTTCTCTCCACTTAGGGAGGCAATAAGCTGCCCCAGGTACTGAGATCCACCTTTGACTCTATAGGCAGACAAAGGGTGGGGAGGAGGGGGAAGGCAGATGGACAGACTGTGCATTCGATGGCAGACACAGAGGAAGAATAACAACTCCCTCCTTAGCAGTGGGACACCCCCAAAAGCAGAGGTATGGGGAACAGGTGCCCCTAGCTCCTGACACCACTGCATTCCACCCATTGTAAGGCGGAGGCAGGGTCCTGTAGGCAGCTTAAGCCTGTGTTTCCCTGAGCATCTTCTAGCCTCTTGCTGGCACATAACCAGAGATCTTGGCGAAGCTTGAGTGAGGGACTTGTAGGGGATGATGGGTAACTCTCCTGCTTTCTGATATGCCCTGCCTTCAGGAACAGGTTGGCCCACCATTTTCACATGTAGGACAACAGGTGGAGTTGGGCAGGAAGTAGTGGAAACATAGTCAACAAAGGTAGCACCAAACAGAAGGGAATCCTTAAAACAAACAAACAAAAAACCCCAAAAACGAAAACAAAACAAAAAACCACTGTGATACTTTCCCTATATTATCAGATGCACTCTTGTTCCCTAAGAGGGGACAGGTAAATCACACAGACAGGCAGGCAGGCAGGCGGGCAGGCAGGCAGATACAAACATACCACACACACACACACACACACACACACACACACACACACACTAGCTAGGGGGTGTATATTCAGGACTCTGAGCCCTGATGAAGGGGGAGGCAAACAGGTGGAAGGAGGGCAGGCGGCCTCCAGTGCCTCCGCACCCCACACCACAGCTGCCATCTGGGAGGGGGTGCTTCCTTCCTTGTTGGGAAGCAGAGTCTAGAAACTCCATCTCCCGATAGACCTCACTGGGAGGGCACGGGGCCGCTCCATCTCTTGCCCAGCGAGGCCAGAAACCAGGAGTGTGAAGGAGTAAGGTAAGAGGACCTCCTCAGCAGGACCGACAGGCTTATGCATTCTGGTAGAGGTCAACCCAACTCCTCCTTGTAGGACAGGAAGTGGCTCCGGGTACAAGATGTCCAGATGGGGGTTGTTGAGGGCATCGTGCAAAGTGCTTGAGTGCCAGGTGCCAAGGACCTAGGTGGGGGCCCTGGGCCCCTTCACTCTCACTGACTATTGGCCTCCAGCTTGTAGGAGAGCTCGAAGAGGAGATTCTGGTTGTCGATGACCTGGAACTGGCGCACATAGGCCTTGGTCTGCAGGTGATGTGGGGAGGCCTCCATGTCCAGGCCTGGGGTGTGGAGAGGGAGAGGTGGTCAGCTCTTAGCTCCCCTTTGTCCCCTGCATCCATGCCAGGCAGGGCAAGGCAGGGTAGGGCAGGGCAGGGGTGTGAATGGGGACAGGTACTGGCAGGAAGCCCAAGGAAAGAATGAAGAACTGACGGGTGTAATGAAACATACACTTGGGCATGGAGTTCTCCCAACCCCTCCTCTTTCACAGTTCTACTGGGAAGCTAGCTCACTGAATACTTACAGAGGGGCCGGCTCCGGTATTTTCGGATTGTCCTCACTTTCTCAGCCACGGAATGCTGGGAAATGATAAGGAATTAGCCCTGAAAAGGGCACAGATGGCTGTTTCCCCCTTCAATCTCAACTGAGTTAGTGTTACCATCTCCAGTCTCCCGTGATGGGACCTCTGAAGGGCCAAAGGATGGGGAATAGCAAGATGCCAAGAGAGGGAGGCAGAATTGCCCCCAAACTGCCTGTCAGCTTTGCCTCTTGTAGGTGGGTTGCTACAGTGATGCCACCAGGGAGACGGGCTGGAGTCTGTTAGGCAAGCTGGGCACCAGAGAGAAAGGCTGCTATTTGGGGAAAAGGGAAGGATGGATGTCACCCCTCACTCCTAGGACAGGGGCTGGCAGGGCCACTCACCAACTTCTCAATGTTCACCAAACCATCCACGAGGGTCTTACTCCCCTCATGCAGGAAGGTCAGGTCTAGGGAACAGAAAGACAGCTAAAGGTGAGAACAGAGTAGGCAGAGCCCATCCCACCCTCCAAGACACACGCAGTCTGGGGAGGTGTGGGGGGTGCTTCTCTGCCAGTACACATTCACGGCTGAATTGAGAAGGGACTCAGAGGCAGGCCTGGGGTATGGGAGAAAGGAATGTGAGCAGAAGCACAGCATGCCGGGGACCGACCTTTGAGGATCAGGGGCACGAAGGGAATCACAGGGGGCTTCATTTTGGAGATGATTTCTCTGTAGCTTTTGTGGTTCCGGCAGGGGTCCTAGCATTCCACAGAAGGAGCAGAAACAGATGGGCCCACTGTACCCCCAAAGATGTCTCCTATTCTCTACAGGCTGATGAAAGCCAACCCCACTCACCGTCAAGTTCTCAAATTTGCGGAACAGGTTCTTGAATTTCCCTGGCAGCTTCTGCAGAGAGTTGGAAGGAGGAAACCGGGAATGTCAATGTGGAGCTTCTTGAGTCCCATGAGCCTACTCTTCCTCACAGGGTTTGGGGCTTACACGTCTTGCAGTGGGAGGGGGAAGCTAGCAGGTGAGGGCAGAGAATCAGTCCTAAGGGTAATTCAGGAAGTGGGAAGCTGCCTGAGGAACGGATTATTCTGGACAAAGGGAGACCTTTGCCTACACAGGTGCCATGCACAGGGAGTACTGGCTGAGACCCAGCTGAGCAAGGGCACTTCAGCTGGGATCCTAGCTTTTTACTAATTTGCAAAGGCATGAGCAAAGCAGTATGCCCTGAGCAGCAGAGGCCACAAGAGGGCACCTGCTTCCCTTTGGCATAAAGATTGCCCAAAGAGCACCAGGCAGCACCAGGAGGATGCACACAGATCCCCAGGCGGGATGACTGCTCTGGGTAGAGAAGGGGGAGGTCGCCTCACCTCCCAGGTCAGCCGCAGGCGGCTGACGGCAGCATTGTCCAGTCCCATGACCACAGCATAGAAGGACAGTAGGTCCTGGTTCTGCTTGCAGCTGTGTGGGAGGGAGGGAGGCGGGGTCAGAGGGCATCGGGTGACTGTGACCTTCCCAGCCTCCACCAGCAGCACTCACATGGCGGCGATCTTGATGAATTTCTTGAGCAGCTGTACGCGCTTGCCAGGGGCCTCACAGAGCAGCACCTCAGTGGCCACCCAGTGAGTAACCTCGCTGCAACGTTGCAGCAGCAACTCCAAGTTAGCTGTCTCGCGGCGACCACGCTCCCCATGGAACACATAGTCCACGAATTCCAGCTGCAATCACAGTGGCAGAGGGGAGGCCAGGGCAACGGGGATGTGGGTGGGAAGATGGCCCAGAGCATATGGAGAAGGAAAGATAGGAGTGAGTGGGTATGGAAATAGGAAAATAGGGCCAGGACAGGATGCAACAGAGACAATTAATACTAGCACTGCTCTCCACCTAGTGAGCATGGAGGATCCATGCACTTGCTAAAATCTGTTATTCTCTCCCCGGGAGACACTTACCACCTACTGCCTTTTATCTTTCTTTCTTTCATTTTAAGATTTTATTTTAGGGGCTGGAGAGATGGCTCAGTGGTTAAGATCACATATCTATCTTGCAGAGGATCTGAGTTCAATTCCCAGCACCCACATCAGGCAGCTCACAATTCCAGGGAATCTGACACCTCTATGACCTTATACACAGAAACATACAAGTGCTCATGCATAAATAATAAAAATCTTTTTTGAAAAGATTTTATTTTGGGGGCTGTAAACATTGCTCAGTGGTTAAAAATGTGTACTGATCTTCCACAAAACCTAAATTTGGTTCCCAGCACCCATAAAAGGTGGTTCACAACTGTCTATAACTTTAGCATCGGGGGATCTGATGTCTCTGGTCTCTAGGCTCCTGCACTCACATGTGTGCATGTATAAATGCACATATATGCACATATAATTAAAAATAAAATACATCTTAAAACAAATTGGCCAGGAATGATGGTGCACGCCTTTAATTCCAGCATTCAGGAGGCAGAGGCAGGTGGATCACTGTGAGTCTGAGGCCAGCCTGGTCTACAGAGTGAGTTTTAGACCAGCTAGGGCTACATATTAGGGCTGTTTCAAACCAACAACAAAAAATCAAGACTTTAATATTTTGTATGTATATGTGTGTCTCTGTGTGTATGCGCACATTCATGCAAAGGCCAGAAGAGGGAATCTGAGCCCCTGATGCTGGAGTTACAGGTAGTTGTAAGCTACTAGTTATGGAGCTGGCCCTCTGGAAGAACAGCAAGCACTTTTAACCCCTAAGCCACCTCTCAAGTACTCATATTTTTGTTTGTTTGCTTGTTTTAATTTATTTACTTTTATCTCATGTGCATTGGTGTTTTGTCTGCAGGTAAGTCTGTGTGGGAGTGTCAGATCTTGGAGTTACAGACAATTGTTGGCTGCCCTGTGGGTGCTGGAGTTTGGACCTGGATCCTCTATGAGAGAAGTCCGTGCCCTTAACCACTGAACCATCTCTCCAGCCCCCAAGTTCTGGCCTCCAACTCATCACGGAGCCCAGGATAATCTAGATCCTTCTGCCTCCACTTCCTAAATGGTGAGACTACAGGCATCTTCCACCACAGCTGATCTATTCAGTGATGAGGATCAAGCCCAGGGTTGTGCATACTAGGTAGGCACTCTACCAATGAAGTTATACCCTCAGCTCAACAGTAAATATTTTTTATGAATCCTGGTAGGAATCCCGGCATCTATGTAGAGGCTCTCTACCATTTCCCCAGATGAGGGGACAAAGGTCTACCAAGGTTATACCTGAGCAAGAGAGCCCCCTAACTAGGACTGTCTGCAGACTCCTAGGAGCACATTCTGTGCCACACCCCCAGCCCAGAACAAGCCTCAGTCCTACCTCATGCACACATCGGAACAGCTCCCAGTGGAAGGCAGTAAGATGATGGGCAACGTCTTCAGGCTCCACGCGGTGGATCTCTGTGTCGCCAGGAGAGACCTGGATCTCTTCAGGAAGGGGTACCTAGTAGCAGGAGGGATCAAAAGAACTTGGTTCCCTGTGGTAAGGTGAGACACTTGCTCTCAGCCCCCCTCAGCTCTTGTTACCAGTTAAGGCAGGTGAAGGAATTCTTACCAGGGCCTCATAGCTGTCCCGGGTACAAGCAAATAGGTGGCTGTTGATGCCCAGTGTAGTGAAAACACAGTCCTCTGTTGGCTGGAGGAGGACCTTCTCTGCAGAGGAACAGGCTGTCAGCTTGGACACTCACACCCCTCACATACCTGAGCCACCACCCCCCTTCCCATCCAGAACCCATAACTCCATGCTGACACATCCTAGGCTAGTGGGACTCTTAACACCAGCTTATACCATGTTTATCTGAAATGCGTAAGAAGCTTTCTTTTGCATTTATAGACTCCACTTTATATGTAGCTCATCTCTCATTCCTTCACCTCTATGACATTGGACAGGATTGAATGCTTTTTCTTTTTAATATTTTTTAAGAAAATTGTATTCATTTATATTTTATGGCTGAGTGCTCTGCATGTCAGAAGAGGGCATACGATCCTATTATAGATGGTTGTGAAGCACCATGTAGTTTCTGGGAGTCGAACTCAGGACCTCTGGAAGAGCAGCTAGGGCTCTTAACCACTGAGCCATCTCTCCAGCTTGGAATACTTTTTCTTTAGGGAAAAATAAGGCTAAGATGAGCATGCTGGAGCATGCCTGAAGTCCTGGTACTTGAGAGGCAGAGGCAGGAAAGATTGTAAATTCCAAACCAGCCTGGAGTTTTATACACACACACACACACACACACACACACACACACACACACACAATGCTTATGCTACATTGCTGGCTCTCTGCCTCCCCACAGGATAAGAGCCTACCCTATGTCCTCAGCCTGAAAAGAAAAGAAAAAAAAAAAAAAAAAAAAAAAAAAAAGAGCATATAGGACAGTGGGAGAGAGAGGCGTGTGTAAAGGACCAGAACACAGTCTACCCAGGACAGAACCCAATGATTCTGAGCCACAGTGTCCCCTGAGTATGGGGATCTAGAATTTAGTATTTATCCCTGCCTAGTGTGCTGACCCTCACCTCCAGAAGAGGCAACAGCTACCAGGATGAGAGCATCCTCACGCTCTGCAGGCTCTTCTGAGTACTGCAGCTTCTCCGTCACAGAGCCCAGAATATCCTGCACTGATGCTGAGAGGCGGCTGCGTATGGTCACGTAAGAGTGGTCAGGCATGTAGACTCGGCAGAAGACTGCAAAGAGACAGGAAGGGTATTGTGAAAGGTGCTGAGAGACTCCACCCACTGCCGAGCCACCCCAGAATCTGTGTTCTTCCTCATGGACATGCTCACTCTCATCTGAGCCCCGGAATGCCACTCGAGTCTGCAGACAGGAATCTATCCGGCGGAAGTGGCGGAAGAGTGGCTTAACCTGCTTGCTGGGTGGGTGGCTCTCCTCTGGAATCCTGGCATGAACACAGCTGGGCATCAGCAAGTCTGCCAGGCATGTGGACACCAGGCAGGACCATTAAGCAGGGATAGGACAATGAACAGCATAGGACAATTGTCCAAGTGAACCAAATCAAATGCCATCTCTTTCAGGGGCTCTTCTCCCACAAATGCTATAAAACAATGGAACGATATTGTTTATGTTCACGTCATCTTTTCTTCCAGACTGACAGCTTTTGAGGAATGGGATAATTTTTTACAGAGCGTTTTTCACCCTTTAGGTTCTAGCACATGTCTTGGCACATGGCAGGTAGTAGGACATCGGGTGTTTGAACTTTGACAGTCTGAGAAGGAGACAGACACGCACACAGCCCCTCCTAACACCAGCCAGGAAGTGTGGGTGAGAAGACAAAGATACAGGAGAGTCCCAGAGAGGGAAATCTGAGATGTTTCCATGGTAGAGATGACATTTGACCCAGGGCCTTGAAGGATCCTCGGGATGGAAAAGTAGGAATGCACAAGGGTTGTCAGAGTAACAGGTGAAGAGGGATGTTCAAGAGGAGGTGGGAAAGATCAGCAGATGGCAGGAAGAGAGTGGTGCTGATGCTGTGCTGGGGTATTTAACCAGGGAACACGGACGCTTTGGGAACAGGAGGGCGAGGGCATTTATAAAAGTCTTGAGAAGACCTTTGGTGTCAGAAGAGAGAAGGGAGAAAGATGCAAGGCCAGAAGCTGAGGTCCTGGACAGACTGTGGCAACAGTCTAGGTGACAGTTAGTGAACCCTGTAGCAGCAGGAGTGGAGAGGAGGAAACCAAGACGTACTCTTCTCCTGAAGCTAGTGAGGCCAATTTTGGGGGATTCTGCCAACTGTTTGTTAGTTAAGGTAATAGTGGGGATTAAACCCAGGACCTTACACATATTAGACAAGCACCCTACCACTGAGCTCTATCCCAAGCCCTTATTATTTTTCTTATTTTAAGACATGATCTCACTAAGTTGTCCAAGCTGGCCTTGACTTGATGGTTCTTCTTCTTCAGCATCCTGAATACCCAGGATTACAGGGATGTACTAACTTCCATAACTGATGCAATTTTTAAAGATTTATTTGTATTTTTAACGTATATGGGTGTTTTGACTGTATGTGCCTTGTATACCAAATGCAAGCAGCACTACATTTGGAGAGCAGAAAAAGCATCAGATCACCTGGAACTGGAGTTACAGATGGTTGTTAGCAGCCATGTGGGTGCTGGAAATCCAACCTGGGGCCTTTGGAAGAGCAACAAGTGCTTTTAACCATTAGGCTACCTCTGCATTTTTTTTTTTCAAGATAGGGTTTCTTTGTGTAGCTTTGGCTGTCCTGGAACTAGCTCTGTAGGCCAGGCTGGCCTTGAATTCACAAAGATCCACTTGCCTTTGCCTCCAGAGTGCTGAGATTAAAAGCATGTGCCACCACTGCCCCACAGTACCCTAACTGATTTTTTTTTAAAGGACAGATGTTAAATATGTGTGTGTTCATTCATACACACATTTTGTAAAGCTTTTTTAGGCATATGTAACAGTGTAGTGGGAATACTATGCAGCTACTGCTGCAGCTTTTTTCCCAGCTCTACCGACAGTGATGCCTTGTTGATAGCTTGAAATCAACCATGGTCAGAGAATTCACACTATGAGAATCAGAGCTATCAACCAGGGCTGTCTCTCATAAAGCACACAATGTTAAATATCTTCCAGAACACTACCAGATTAATAGACAAGCTGAGGGAAAATTGGACCAAAAACTAAAGAGACTGGAGCTGGGCCTGGTGGCACAGGCCTACTTGGGAACCTGAGACAGGAGGATTACCAGAAGCCATCTTGGGCCACACAGTAAGCTGGGGGTAACTTGAGCTATATAGTAAGACACATTGCTTAGTACCCCTCTGCCGGGGGGGGGGGGGGGGGCTGGGTTAGAGACAGTGTTGTGTGGTATTCTCCAGTAAGGGAAAGGAGCTGCAAGAAACCATATTGAAGGCTGAAGGGGCTGGAGAGATGGCTCAGTGGTTTAGAGCATTGGCTGCTCTTATGGAGGCCCCCATCTCTGTTCCTAGCACCCACACGGTGGCTCACAGCCGTCTGTGGCTCACGTCCCTGGGGGCCCAATGCCCTCTTCTGACCTCAGCACACCCAGTCACGCAAGTGACATGCAGATGTACATGCAGGCAAAGCCATCAAAACAAACAAATATCTTAGAAAGTAAGCAAACAAGCAGACAACGTATATGTTGACGCCACAAGACCAGAGGCAGCCCCTGTAAGAGAGGAACTCAGGGAACCCCATCCCCCTCACTTTAGCTCTACTGTCTCCACGAGCTGGTGCAGCCTCAGAGTGTCCTCTCGGAGGTCTTGGTAAAGGGACTCATCCTTCATAATCAGTAGATACAGTTCCTAGAGAGAGGGTAACAGGTGAGACAAAGGCAGATGGCCTACCCCCGGGACCACTCACTCACTGCAAGGGCTGAGGCAGGGCCTCCATGCCTCAAGCACCCAGGAATCCCACAGGCCAAAAGCCCACCGGCATCTTTTGCTTCCAGAAACCCAACTTAAGGCGTGTGAGTCCTTTAAAGGGCCCCCTTCCAGAGCTGACAACCAGCTCACATACCTTTTCCTTCCCAGGCCCACCTTGATAATGTGGCCGGCCCCTTCTTCCTCTTGCAGTAGTCCTTGGTAGGTATCCAAGAAATGGAGGAGTAGAGCTAGACAGGCTTGCTTCCGGCCCAGCCCCTCAGGACCCTCCACATTCCTTGACTGAACAAAGCTGACCCCTAAGTTAAGTAAAAGTTCTGGATAGCCAAAGAAACTGGGAAAGGCAAATTGCCCCCAAATATTCTAGGCTTGGGCACTAGAAAAAAGAAGGTATTCAGGAACATGGAATGAAGACTTTTCTCATACCAGCCATGGTTTTGCTTAGAGTATAAAAAATGAGGGCTTCGATTGATCACATTCAGCTCTTGCCTGTTAAAAATATCGACAGGACCCATCTAATCTCTGGCCAGCCCACACACCTGACTTACCTCATGGTGAGACCCAATTATTCAAAGAGAGCCTAGAGGCATTATATTCAAGGTCTTGACAAGTACAATTAGGTTCTAAAATGACTCAAAGAAGCCAGGCATGGTGGCACATTCCTTGTAATCCCAGCCATTAAGGAGGCAGAGGCAGGAGGAACACCACAGGTTAATGGTAGCCTGGTTGGTCTACATTAGTAGTGAGCCAACGGTGGTGGCGCACATCTTTAAGCCCTGCACTTGGGAGGCAGAGGCAGGTGGAGCTCTGTGAGTTTGAGGCCAGCATGGTCTACAGAGTGAGTTTTGGGACAGCCAGGGTATGATACACAGAGAAACCCTGTCTCAAAAAAATAAAACAGGGGTTGGAGAGATGGCTCAGAGATTAAGAGGACTGGCTGTTCTTCCGGAGGTCCTGAGTTCAATTCCCAGCAACCACATGGTGGCTCAAAACCATCTATAATGAGATCTGGTGCCCTCTTCTGGTGTGCAGGTATACATGGAGGCAGAATGGTATATTCATAATAAATAAATCTTTAAAAAAAATCTAAACTACCCAGGATTACATAGTGAGACCTGTCTCTAAAAACAAAACAAACAAAAAAGCAAGTAAAGCGAAGCTATATACTGCCAAGAGACCCAGTGACTAGGCCAGGAGTAGCGCATCTCTAGCAGACCCTACTGAAGCACACCATGAGCTAATGCTGATATCAGACCCCATGTTTAGAGCAAGGCCTTCTTTGCTTTGTTTTGTTTTTGAGGCAGGGTTTCTCTGTGTGGCCCTGGCAGTCCTGGAACTCACTCTGTAGCCCAGGCTGTCCTGGGAATCACAAAGATCCTCCTGCCTCTGTCTCTGGAATACTGAGATTGAAGATGCAGGCCACCACGGCCCTGCTTACCCTTGTATAGGTAGGTCTCTCCAGAGCACCCCACACCTACAGCAAAGCTGATCCTCACAGCAGCCCAGAGCAGAGCAACTGTTTGTCTCCATCTTACTGACTGAAACAAACTGAACATGATGTGAAGTGATCTACCCAAGGTCACACAGCTGGTGGGGCGAAAAGCTGGTTGTGTCTTCTAAGGGAAAGTTTGGGCTGGGTTGTAGTTTGTGGGCAGGAATGACTCCCTCCTGGTCTGCCTTTTTATAAGCTCCATAAAAGGATATTACTGGTGTAACTCTTGTAGAAACTTTTCTGTTGGCAGGAAGAGGGAATGGGTGAGGACGATGTCATCAAGCAGAATATCTGTGGAGATCAATGGGTGTCACTGATGTCAGGAGGGAGCTTCTAGGACCCGTCTTGAAACCCTGCACCCTCATTTCTTGCCTCTTTAGTAAGGCTAGAGCCCCGGCCACCTGCCCTGTCATGCTTTGCACACACGCACACACATGTGTGAAGGTTCTGGGCAGCCGCTGCGGGGGTGGGGCTGGCAGCTGCCAAGGCAGCTGGAGGGAAGGGGGGGGGCTTTGACAGCCATGCACACTTCTCTTCAGTGTGTGGGAAGTTGGTCAGATAATATACCATGTGTGAGATCTGCTAGGAAAAAAAAAAAAAAAAAAAAAAAAAAAGGAGTCCATGGAAGGGACCCTCAACAGAGAATTGGCAAACAGAGGTAACAGTCAGAGTGATATAGGTGTGTGGGGATGTGTGTCCACCCTCCCCTCACCACTGCTGACATCATTGCTTTGACAGGGCAGGTGGGGACCAGTCCCATTAAAATTAGGAGAGGAGACAGACTGCCACCTCTTGTTCTCAGGCTTTAAATAGAACCCCTGTGTCCTCTGGGTGGTGCCCAGAGGTGGAAGGGTTAATGATGGGGAGGGGAGGGGCTCCTCTCACCACCCTTTCCCTCCACACCCCACACCCCTGTCTGGGCCTGGCTCAGCCAGTCAGCCAGGTACAAGGTCGCCCTGACTTGCAGCCAGCCTTGGGGTGGGGCAGGGCTGCTTGGCACACACAGACAGGCAGGGCACAGGGTGGGAGCCAGGTGTCCTCACCAGGACAGGTTAGGGCCAGGTCCCCAGGCACTGCTCCAGGACAAAACCAAGGCTCCTGACAACCCTTGGTTGTCATGCCCTGCTGCCAATGCCAGCCAGGAAGGAAGAGGTAGGAGAGGCAACACAAGGTTGTCTACTTTGACCTATTTCGTTCCACAGATGAGAAAATTGAAGCCCAGAGCTAGGAGGCCCTTGCCTCAAGCCAGATGAAGAACTTAGATCACTGAGTCTTTGTTCTTTCCTCAATGTTAGAGGTGAGCAGTGTCAGGGTAGAATCCAGTGGCCACAAGGGGCTGCCTAGACTTCTGAGGGGCCCTGGCTAGGTGTGGAGTGCCCTCAATAAGCAGTAGTCTCCTCCCACAGAGCCTGGGAGGAAACCAAATGGCTTGAGAACATGGCTTATATTGGAAATATTGGAGCAGCAGGTTAAGCTGGTAGGTTTCCCAAACCAGTTTCTCCGGGGATTCAGCCTGCCAAGACAGATAATATGGGTGACAATTTGGGAGTCTTAACCCAGGGGACACCGAACAATCTGTGGCACCATGCCCCGACAGAAGAGGAACGTCAACCTCTCTTCCCCTCTGTGTCCAGCTACCCTGCTATGTTCTGAGAGTAAGTGAGAAGCGCCCCTGGCCCTCATGCCCAGCTTCAGCGATGGGGACCAGGCTTAAGGAGGCCTGACACCCTTCCAAGCATCTTTATCTCGCTCGAGTGTGAATGCTGAAACCAGAGTAAAGGAAAAGGAATATGGGCAGAGTGGGGGAGATGCTGATACGGGGGCTACAGTTTGGCATCTGCTTCTTCCAAAGCAGGCTCTGGTCCAACGCACAGCCTCCCTGGGGAATGTGTCATAGAGACACAGGGTGTGTGGTGTAGGCGGGAAGTTATGGTTAAGAGAGCTGTGTGTGTCTGATATTTTTCTAATTAAATCCAAAAGGTGTCAGCTCCCCAGGGCAACTGCAGCCTGAGCCAAATGAGAGGACCCAGACCTTCAGGAAAAGAAGAAGAAGGAAAAAAAATAAAAAGAAAGAAAGAAAGAAAAAGAGTAGAGGGGAGCGACACCTACTTATAAAACCAGAGCACTTTGCAGAGGATGAAGAGTAATATGTAACACCCTCATCTTTAGGGCCCCAACTTTGGGCTCCAAACCTAAGACCCCCTGGTCCAGTGGAGTGCCTACTTAGACCTAAAGACCTTGATGTCTTCTATTGCAGTCCTAGCCAGTAATGTGGGGCCTCAGTCTCCCATAAGCCCTTTAACAGGGTGCTGGAGGGGAGGTTGAAATGGCATCATCATTTAGAGACTAAGCCTCCCAGGGTGTGGTTATTATTTTTTTTTAAAGAAGCCTTATGCCGAGGCATGACAGGCAGGGTGGGAGCCGCTGAGGCCCAGATTCTTCTGGATGCTGCAGCCTCCCAGTGGCCTTCCCTTAGAGACCTTCAAATTCAGCCCCCAAGGAGGACACTTTCCCTAAAGGCATTCGGGCCCTGTGCGTATCCACACTGCCCCACCAAGTGGGCCAGCCTGTGCTCTGGGGGCTTCTACACAGGCAGGGACTCTTGTCAGGGTTTTCAGGCCTCGGATACGGTCTGGAGGGTGGTTTAACCTCAGCTGGGAAGCTTCCATCTTAGGGTGTCAGCCTCTATTTTGGGGGCATGGGAGGAGGTAGGCAGTATCAAGGGCCACTGGAGACTGGCTTAAATATCCAAGGGAGAGGGAGGGTGGCTGAAGGAGAGGATGGTTGGCTTCTTCCCTGAGGATGAGGCCGTCAGGAGAAAGGTGGGTGAGCACTACCATGTCCCTTCCTCTATACTACTGCGGGGTTCCCCTCAGCTCCTACACTGGTGCTAAGGACAAGAAAAGAAACCAGGGCACCCTCTTACTGCGGGAGGGATGAGCAGGCTTACCTGAGGCGCCGCTGTCCCTGGTAGTCCCTCCAGCCAGGCGCTCCAGAACCCGGTTCAGAAGATGCTCTGGCCGCTCGGGGGCGCCTAGAGGGGCCCAGGGAGGTGAAGCCAGGGGCTCGCCGGGGGATAGCTCATCTGAGGAGTACGAGGAAGGAGAGCGCAGGGGTACCCCGCACCCCAGCGGCCCTGGCCCGGGCACCTCTTCTAGCTGCAGCCAACAGGGCCCCCCGCTGCCCGGCTCCTCCGAGAGCCCTAATGGCTCTCCCCCTTCCTCCTCAGCCGGCGGCTCCAGCTCGGGCTCGGCTGAGGGCTCTCGGAGGAAAGCTGGGAGCAGCAGGCGAGACACGCTCTGACGCCGCTGCAGCGGCCGCGGTCCCCCGGCCGGACCGCAGCCTCCGCCAGGGCCCCCACCCCCTCCAGGCCCTCCGCAGCAACCCGGACCCCCGCCGGATCCTCCTGCCACCGCTCGCCCCGCCAGCTGCGACGTCTGCTTCTTCAAAAATTTCTCCAGTGGCTTCATGCCCCCCCCCGCCCCTCTCCTAGGGGCCGCCGGGGGACCCAGGTGTCCCAGGCGCGGGCGGGGGGGGCGGGGACACGATGCTCAGAGCCGGAGGGGCAGAGCTGAGGGCTGTGCCAGGCGCCGGACTGCGAGCCAGAGGTGGCCGAAGCTCGCTGGCCAGAGTCCAGTGGCCAGTGGCCGGGGGTAGGTGCCAGAGGGGAGAGGAGCTCGCTCTCAGCGGTCCCCCATGCTGGCTGCGGCCGAAGGGCGGGCAGGCGGAGAGGCCGGTGTCCCCGGCTCACCGCTCCGGGGCCGGGCTGAGGCGGCAGAGGCAGCGGGCGGAGCGCAAAGCTGAGGACGCGGCGGCGGCTGCGCTCCTGGCCCCGGGGAAGGTGGCAGAACTGAGACCGCGCCCCCTCATCCAGTCCCCGCCCCTACCCTGCCTAGACCCGCCCCAACCCGGCCGCGCGAGGCTTGAACTTGGGCACTGGTGCTGACCGCGAGGAAAATTCGGACTTGGTTTTGGACAGTCAGAAACTGAGGGCAAAGGCGAGGGAGGGGTTTACCAATGGAGAGGACTCCTGGCTCTCGAATACCGGGTCTCTTACGATCATTTCAAATAACCAGGGCAGATCTTTGACTTAACACTTTGCGCGCCTACCTGTACACAGGTGAGGCTTAAAAGACTGCTGAACTCATTGCATCTGTCTCACAATTATGTAATCTTTATCCCCCACCCGTGAAAAGGGCAGGGACGGCGTCTTGGGTGAACTGGCATTGGCATTGGGGGCGGTACCCACATCCTTCTCTGATAGGGTATAGTAGGTGATGCAGGGCCGCCCTGTAAGGCAGGTACCGGCAGGCAGGAAAGAGCCAGGCAGAGACCAGCAGGTCGTGGCAGGTTTAATTGGGGTGAAAAGAGATAGCAGGCAGCAAGAGAAGACCAAGAACACAAGGGCACCTTAGCCCAGGTGGTAGCAAAAGGAAGCAAGACCGAAGAGATGGGTGGTAGACGGGTGGTAGGTCCTCAAATTGCTACTGTCACCAAGCACGTCAAGTTTAGTGTATGGAGCCATGGAATGGGAGATACGTTGCCCTTACTCCTGACGGCCATGCCAGTGCATCCTGCCACCAAGAGCACATGCACTTGGAGGATGAAGCTATAGAGACTAAGTGTGAACACATCCAGGCTAGGAATACATAGAGGGAGTGGCACCAGGTTCCTGTTGGACTGGAGCTCCTTGGACAATGCCCCAACCCTGTTTACTGTGCACCAGCCAGGCAGGGAAGAACAGGAATGCTAATAGCTGGGAGTGGTGGAGCTGACAGGGTGTGTACTACACTTGGGTTGCTGTCTGTACATACCCAGTTCCATGTGTGCTAGAGCATGTGTTCACAGAACTAAAGCTCTGCATACCCATCTGTGGATTTGGAGAGGGAACAAAAAAAAAAAAAAAAAAAAAAAAACCCTCTGATTTTGGCTAAGAAGCTAGGTCTGAGTATTGACTTTGAGTATTGACTTTCTGGGCTCCCTTCATGGGATGTTCAGCATCTTAAGGGTGAAAGTAAAAACTGGCTAGGATGACTTGAAGCTTCCCCAGGTAACCTTTTAGGAAACATATAAGAGGGGAGGGCTTCTCTTCTGCACATGCCACAGTTACCAGATTAAGCGGTTGCCTTGGTAACCTCCTCTCTGGGCAGGATTTGGATTGTCGGTTAGGAAGGGTGAAAAATTGGGGAGTGTAAAGGGTGTGGGGGCTGGAAATAAAAGGGACTGAGAGAGACTTCTAGAAATTAAAGGCTTGCTTTCCAGTCCCTTCTGTTCAGGACCTTGAATCAGATGAAAAGGAGGCATTAAGTTGTGGCCCTCCCAGAACACCAGTGGTTTCCACCCTGGCTACACACTGGAACCACAGAGGAGCTTTTCAGAATTGCTGATGCCTAGGTCACACCACAGATCAATTATGAGGTAGATCCTGAGGCAGGCCAAGGCTTCTTAGCTTAGAAAGCTCCCCAGGTGATTTAAATAGGCAGTGTTGAAAAAAACCACTGCTCTAGGTCAACCCTAGCAGGTATCAAATGCTCTAGCAATTGCAAATCCTTGCTGTTTTGAGTCACCTACATGGTAGGTGGGGGGGTGGTGGTGGTGGATAGAGCTTCTCCATTACCATGAAAGAAACAAAGAGAAAGAAAGGTAGGATGGTATACAATTACTTAACTGAGGAAATGAGGGCCAACAACCTTAACTGAGCCCGCCCAACCCATGAGCTTCTAAAAAAGGTATTGGACAGGGCTACCCAAGGCAGTAATGTATCTGCCCCTTAAACTCCCATTATTTCTGCCCACAGAGAGGCAGGCTGGGAGGGCAGAGAGAACCTGAGGGCTTTGCTGAGCTTGAGTTTCTTCTTGCTGAGCTTGTTACCAGGGCAACAGAGAGCAATGGGATCTAACCAGAGGACTCGGGAAGAGACAGAGGTGAGGAGGTAGCATCCTAACATTCTTTTCTCCTGCTAGTTACCCACCCCCAAGGTTGGTTGGCATTCTTTGCATGACCCAAGAGTCCAGGGATATAGTTACCCCATCACCTGTGGGACAGAGGGAAGATGTCCCAATGACACCCACACCACTGGTGTAAAGCTTTGTGGAACTAAGAACAAATGTTTCCAGCCCCATAACATCCAAATGCTCTTCCATAGCAGGGTGACCTTTGTATAAGTTAATTCAAGGGAAAGTTAATTCAAAAGTGGTAATTATTTTATGTGTTCCAGGGTCTCAAGTGAAAGGAAGGCAGCAGGAACCATTTGACGGTCTTTGTTTCCCTTACCACCACCAGTACCAGGACTGGTAGCTGCCCGTCAGACTTTGGGCCTTGGTACTTTAGTACCATCTCTACCCCCACCCCACCCCTTACAGGGTTTCTCTTTGTACATCTGGCTGGAACTCACTCTGTAAACCAGGCTGGCCTTGAACTCACAGAGATCCAATTGCCTCCCGAGTACTGGGATTACAGACAAGCACCACTATTCCCAGCTGTGAATAGTTAACTTTCTTGGAAAGTAAAGACAGCACTAAAAGCCGGCCATAGTGACCCATACTTTTAATCCCAGTGCTCAGGAGGCAGAGGCAAGAGGAGGGTTACACAGTGAGATAGGGTCTCAAAAAGCCAAAAATAAATAAATGTATTTTTAAAAACTGTCAGAGATTCCAGGTGTAGCAGTGTACACCTGAATCCCTAGCACCTGGGAAGTGGGGTAATAGGATCAGAGACTGAAGGGTATTTTCAGCCACAAGGTGAGTCAAGAGGCCAGCCTGGACTGAAAAACAATAAACAACAAAAAAGAGGGATAGAATGAGAAACTGTTATCAAGCACATTCAAATTTGAGGCCTCACAGGGGCTCCTTACCACAATGAACTGGCTCAAATTATGACTAATTCTGTAGTAAAGTTAGTCTCTTTCTTCCCTCCCAAATCAAGATACAAATAAAAACTGGCAAGAGTCAAGTCTATAGTCTATATTTTATTATCTCCAAGTCACAATGCTGATCACAAATATGCACCCTTTAAAACAGTAACAAAAACAACACACATGGTGAAATCTTTGCAACTAAACACAGTGGACCAGCAGACAACTGTCACAGTGTCTTAAGGTCTGGGGATCTGGGCATGCTGCCCACAGGCTTGAGGAAACATCTTCAGGTTTAAGGCAAAGGGAAGCCTATAAAAGGCACAACCACCAGCTATCCCTGGAATAACCTCTTAGTTATTTCCTCCTTGGGGGTTGCTCCCCACCCCTGACTCAAGAGTGGTTAGGCCAGCTGTAGGAGGAAAGGATAAAAACAGTGACATTATTGGGGAGAGACAGCCACACTTTTTCCCTCAGGTTCTGGAGGAACCCTGGCAGGCATAGTGCTGCAGTGACAGGACTTCCACAGAGGCACAGGGATGTGGTTTGGTGCCATGGAGAGGAATGACAACAGAGAGCCTTTGTCCAGAAGGCGACTTGCTTCCTTAGGATTTAAGACCAGGTAGTTACTTTCTGTTTGCTAGTACAGGAGCAGAATTGGGGAAAGTAAGGTAGTAACATCTAAAAACACTTGTAGCAAGGAAGGCATGGAGAAGAACTGCAAAAGACAAGGCAGACAGATTGCTGAGTAGTATTGTCTCTAGAGATGCATTGGTCCACAGCAACTGGGAAGGGGATGTAGTAGGAGAGATGTAAAGAAGCAAAGCAAGGCCCACTAATTCCACTTACCTCAAAGGCAGCCCTGAGGCCTCGGCCATGCATTCCCCTAGTCGGGAGAGGATCTCACTCCACCCTCCCTTCTCACAAAAGCATCCAGTTTGTTCTCTCTCCACAGTTGATTCCGCCCCGGTGGAGGACTGAAGCCCATCAGAATAGAAATACTGAAGGAGGCTCAGATTTGTAAGACCTACACCTCAAACAAGAGTTCCTACTCACCCACTCTGACCTCTCCTCTACAGCGGGATACTGCGTGCAGATAGCTTCCACAGAGCTAGATACGTGAAGAGACTAATAAAGACCAATCACAAGGAAAAGGCCAGCTATTTTTACAATTGGTTGATACAGTCTCAATTACGTGGGAGTTAGGGAAGACTCCAGAAAGGGTAGTAAACTAGAATGAACTTGTTTCATGTAAAGTCAGGGGACAGAGCAGGGAAAAGGAGAAAAAACTAAGAATATTAATTTAAGGATGGTAAGTCAGGCTTTAAAAATGAACATTCAAACAAATAAGCAGGAAGGAACTTCCCTGGGAGAAGACACTTGAATCTCCGGGGAGAAAGTAAACAACAGTGAGATGCAGGCTTCTGAATAGACTCTGAAGCCTGGGCTGTCCAGTCTCTGCTCCCCTGAGTCCAGGCAGCTCAATTGAAGAGTGGAGGCTTCTTCTCTCTCTAGCAGGCCTGTCCTCAGAGGAAGAGGACCTCTCATCCTCCAACTGTCGGCTGGCAGGGCCACCCCACATGTCTCTCTTCCCCCGAGTTTTCTCCTGTTCTATTGAGAG